GCATAGAACATGCAGGATCACGACTGAAATTTCATTACAAAGCAACTAAGGATGACTACAGTGGATGTATGTATATAGCAGTACGTCTGCTGCTTTGACAACCCCCAAATTATACTCGGTCCATGTGGGTGTCTTCATATTAGAATCTTCACTATCTCCAAGAAAGCCAGGCATTTCACAAACATTGCTTTCTTTGCGCACACAGATTATAGGAATGGTGGGAGTGGGGAATGGGAAAGACTATGAACACAGTAAAAAAAAGATTAAAAAATCATGTTAAATTGCCTTTTTGTTTTAGGCCCCTGGCAGGTATTAATATAATTGCACAATTGGGATCAAAGGAATTGTATGCCTGATCCCAACAATCATATCTTCCCCTGCCAGATGGGAGAGGCTGCCTGATAGTTGGGCTCATGGTACTCTGGGTACTCTGGGACCTTAAGCCTGGCATCCTGCTGCATACCTGTTTTTTTACAGGTCCTTTAAAAAAAAGGTAACCCAAAATCCACATTTTTCCATGATTAAAATGAAACACCACTAATATAGATATATCTATCTATCAAAGATTATATATTAGTGGTGTTTCATTTTAATCACAGAAAAATGTGGATTTTGGATTACTTTTTTAATTCAAAAATTGGGGATTTTTTTTTTTTTAATCAGAGAAAACCAGGATCCATGTTGGTCACAATAATTAAAACTACTGGATTAGTATCACATGATTAAATCCTTCTGAACAAAAGTGCTTTTAAATATTTGGATCCTGCCTGGTAAAGAGGTTTTATAGATTCAAGAATTTATAACAAGCTGAATTAACTGTGTTACAGCAATACTTTTATGCTGTCCTAAGAGCATGGGCAGTATTATACAGTAATGTGCCTGGCAGATATTACATTTAGCACGTGAGTAACATGTTCATCTCCCAATGAAGGGAAACATGCCATACGTGTAAGGTATTTAAGATGTGATGAAATGCTAAACCAACCACAATGATGTTCCTCATTTAATGTTCCATTTAATGGGGAACATCTTTGTGGCTGGTTTGTGTTTGCATTGCACTTAATTTTGAATGTGTGGCATGTAGACATCCTGTAGTGGCATGTTGTAGCCCAGCTGCATGTGCAACCTTTGAAAAGTTACCCAAAATGCACATTTTTCCATGTTTAAAATGAAACACCACTAATATATATCTATATTTATATATATGTATATCTATATTTATATAGATATATATTAGTGGTGTTTCATTTTAAACATGGAAATTATGGATTTTGGGTTACTTTTTTAATCCAAAAATTGGGGATTTTTTTATCAGAGAAAACCAGGATCTCTGATGACCAGTAAGTAAAAGGTGTTTTGGGATTTTCCTTATGTTCTTTAAGTGATACCTCAGCATGAAAAGATACTTGTTTCTTCAGTAGGCACTGCCTTAGTTTGTGCAAGATACACAGCTGCAGTTATTCTCTCATTAGTTTTTTTGGCATTGCTTTCTTCAGTGAGAACAAAACTGAACCTATAGGCTCAGCCCTATCCAAAGTACATTCTCCGCAGTTACTACATTGAAAAACAAAGAAGAGTATTTAATAAATAACTAAAAGTTGTTTAGGTGTAGGAACTCATCATTGACATACCTGGTTCACAAGGTAATGAGCCAAATTTCACCACAGATATCCTTTTGTTCAGACTCTTTTGGGCCGAGGATTTCAAATGTCTAAACCCCACTCTCCCGCCAGAAAAACCCAACATGCCTATTTGAATAACATGGAAGAAAGTGAATCCATTTATTTAATAATATCTCAGCAAACATGCTGTGTTTTAAGTTGCTGAAATGTTGCGATTACCTATTAAGCAACTCTCCAGTCCCCTGCACAAGCCATGGAATCAATTTTAGAAGTTTCACGTCACAAGAGCATATTCTTGAGATCTTCTGGGACTCAACAGGCTGAAGGAAGACCAGATCTGGTAAACATGATCTGCTCAGCCAATTTAAAACAAGACCACCACCACATACCTTGGCTTACATTTGAAATCTTTGGGAATTGGACAGCTTAGAGGAAAGTATTAGATCAGCCCAAAAGCTCAATGGATCAATAGATTAATATGTTGGAGGCCTCTTTGTTTTTATATGCTAACAGGTGCAGAAAGCTTCCTCTGGTTACAAGCAACCTCATATAGAACATTAACTTAGAAAACTGGATCGGGAAACACACTAGCTTAGCCAGCAAATTACTCAAACAGGAGGATGGTAGATTTTTTTAAGTTTTTTTTTTTTAAAGTATGTGCCCGATTTTTACAGCCATTGCTGCTATTTCAGAATGAGCAATTGTTTGCTATTAGTGAAACAACAGAAGAGCACTTCATATCTTCCATGCACTGGACACATTAATTAATCCTCACAGTACCCCTTAGGTGCATAGTAACAATTCTTGAGATTTTATTGCTATGAATGGAATTTAGATCGTGAATGAAAGAGGAATTTATTATTTTTTGAAAACGATCACTAACATTACAGACTTATATCACTCTGACATCAACTGCGATGTGACATAGTCCAGTTCCTAATCCTCAGGTTACCACTGCTGCAGCCCAGCGTTTGATTTGCATGAAGGGGAATTCATTGGAATTACTTCAAGGCTTACAAAATGTTGACACAAGGCAGACACGAAATGTTTCACTGAACCCAATCCAGGTCCAATAAAGGCAAACAACTCAAAGTTGAAACTTTATGGCAGCTGAAGCTGATCTGAGAAGCTTCCTGTTGTGCCAGGAAAATCTTTTCATTCCCTGAGGTTGTCACTGGAAGACATTAAGAGCCTCAAAATACAGATATACCATGTTTTCTCACATACAACACAGACCTTTTCCTCCAAAATTTGGACAAAAAAATGGGGTATGTGTTTTAAGCAGGGACGCTATTTTCTTTGCTGGAAAACTAGGAAGCCTGGACACACTTTGCATGCCATGCAGCTGCCAAGCCATGGGGCTGCCACTTGGGGCTGCTCAGCAATAGGAAGGAGCAGTCTTGTGTTAACCCTCATAACTAGTCATTGGCTGAGCAGTAGCATATGCCCAAAGCAGCAAGTGAGCTGTTGATATTATCTTAATGAGGCTTGTGATACGGAGACAATACTTTACTTGCAGGAACTTACATAAAGTACTTACAGTAAAGAACTAACAGTCTTGCTACTGCCCTTGCAGCGGTCTCAGTGCTTAACCTTACATGGTAAGAGTTAAATCCTGGGAACAAAGTGTCTAGGAACTGTGGCATCCTGTGTCTGCCATACCAGGAAGTTCCTGATACCACACTTCTTGGACATGCTACATTTCCAGGAGGACTTAATTTTATCATGCGGTCAACAAACTCATTATTTCTCCATTCTACTTGCCAAAAAAGGTGCATGTTTTATTGGGCAGGGGCGGGGAGCATGTTGTATGCAAGAAAATGTGGTACTTGGTAAAGATTTTCTTTTCTCCATAGTAATACTTATGATAGACTGGAAAACTGAGTTCTTGAAAGCAAGACTGAGAACACCTTAGGACGCTAATTTTGTTACCCAATCATTGCTTTAAGGTGATCCTGAATAAATAGTATAGGCTGTTCTATACTGATGCAAATATGTGGATTCACTCCCCCCCAACCCCCAAACGTCATTTGCGGTACGGGCTCAGAAAGCTGCTAGATGTCTACAGACATCTGAAGGATTAGGCAACAGCATCACTGCTACAGTTGGCTAACCAATCAGGGTTGAGTTGGGTGGTTGCAGCAGCTAACTTTATTATATGTATACAGTGGCACCTGCCACTAGGATTGAACAGCCCAAACTCACATATAGGAACCAGACTGGGAAAAGAAGGCAGTGGCCCAGCACCAACTAGGCATTTGGAGCAGTGGCTTATGGAACATAGCACCATGACCCATTTCATACCCAGGCTATGTGAAGTGTGTGCAGAGTACCTGGTCTCTAGAGGTGATCCATTTGAGGGAGAGGCTCACATCCACTGACAGTTATTTTGGCTGTGAATCAGCTGTGAATGTACTTATGTTCCAGATAGTGCCACTGGCAGCAAGTACCTGAGATTTGGGGAATTGAGCCTGGTAGTTGAGAGCGAGGGCTGCTCGTGAAGCTTTTAAGATTGTTAGACAAACACTTGTCTAGGATGTGTTAGATAGGGATGATCCTGCCTTAAGCAAGGGCCTGATCTCCTGAGGTTCAATCCAGCCCTAGTTTCCTAAGATTCTGACTTACAGTGTTATCACATTGCTTCTGCCACAAGGACCTGTCCCAGTTAAAGCAGAAGTAGTCAGATATTTTTCTAAGGCCAAGGTTACAGTGAGTCACTAGACACTCCATTGTCTCTATTTGCTTGGTGTGCTAGAGATTGTGGAGACAATAAATATAAATAAGTCTACTATGAACAAGGTAGAGATTTGTGCCAAGGCATATGTGTACTTAATGTTCTGTTTTACTCTCTTAAATTGCACAATTCTGTTCACATAAAAGTAAGAACTTAACCCCCTGGAAAGTAACTGAACACCAGCTGGACATCACCTGGGCTCTGGAATGTCTTGGAGGATCCTGCCCAGCAGCATGCACTGTGGCCAGGGCAGTTTCTGAACCAAGAGGCAGACCCGTGCAGGAACTCTGAGTCTCCTAGTGGGCTGTGGCTGCAGGCTGCCCACCACCTAGCTATGCATGTTTTCAACCACACCTCTGGACACAAAGTGACAATGGAAGGAGGGCAGACGAAAACAACCAATACCAAATGTTCAGGCACTGGGTGCAGAGGGTGGTGGAAGCAGCAGGTGAAAAATGAGGGGTTTCCTCTGATGGTAGAGAGAGGCAGGGCTCTGCAACTGGGAAGATCTTTTAAAAAAAGAGGAAAGTAAGGGTGTAACAGAAAACCAGAAGGCTGTTACCTGAGGAGAAAAAAAAATAGCAGGCTGAGCTAACTACAAGGGAAATGTTAAACCAGAGGGAAAGGAAGAGGCTGACTGCAGTAGGTTTTCAGCAGGGCAGAGCCCTGCTTGGGGTAGCAGGGACCGTGCTGCAGTCCCTAGACCAGCAGCAGTAGGCTACACTGGAAGCCAGGCAGCAAGCCTAATTAGAAAACACCTGTGGGTAGCTGGGGGAGTCACCTGATCAGAACGGGGCAGGCCTAAGAGGCACTCAACCATTATTACTATTATAATATCACTTTTTAAACATTAAAATGATTGTTGGAATGTTTATTAACTTCTTCACTACCCCCAAATTATTTGACTAAAATTCTCTTTTACTAACACTAACTAAGGCTGTGTACCAAGGTTGGGCCTATCATTACTGTCACACAAGAAGTACCAAAGACTAAGATTTGGTATCTAACTCTAATATATGGGCAGATATATGACAAATATGGGCAGATTTTATAAGTAATCTGGAGGTGCTCAAGGTAACAATTAAATTGGGCATTGCTATAGGAACAGTTTTTTTCTTGTAGCGCTATTGAGACAAGGAGTCTGCATGCAACTGAGAGCTATTACAATGCAAATACACAAGGGGAGATGAATTAAGGTTGCACTGCCAACCATAATCGTAACTTCTGAGTGTCTGAATCTGTAGCCTTGGCAGTTCTTTCAGTATTGCTTCATTTACGTTCCTATTTATAAAATATAAATGTGTGTGCATGCACAAAAACATATGTACATTCACAGCTGATGAACTATTGAGTGCTTTGTGATTTTTGTACTAGCTTTCACCCAAAATAAAGCAATAGTCTCACCAAAGAGTCAGATAAAATTGGCTTCTCATGTCCTCCAAATGACCAAAAATTTCTATTTATAATAAATATTTCATCAAAACATTCCTCACTTGGTAGAACAGCCAGAACCCCAAAAATTAAATCTCATGTTTGTCAATTCCATAGTACAATTTTGTCAATAGAGTCTATTATACCCTAGTACAGCAGTTCCCAACCTTTTTATACCATGGCCCGGCAAACTGCGGACCAGAAGCAGCCATGGCCTGGCAAACTGCAGACCACCACACAGCCCCGTGGCCAGAATTTCTGGCTGGAACAGTTAATAAATCAGAAAGGAAGCGTGGATCCATGGTAAGGTGGAAAAAAAAACAACAATCAAGAACTAACCGATGATGAGCTTTTGCTGATATGTCAAAATGAACACATTTCCATGAAAATCAATAGCTGCAAATATCAAAATATTTTTCCTTACGTGCAAATTAATTTGAAGGTGAAAGTCTATGTAGCTAGTTCAACTTCTGAAAATGCCTCTCCAATTTGTTTTTAAATCATTAATCCATAACAACTATTTCCCCCACACAATATAATAGGATTCAAGAAAGTTGACAAAACTGACCCATATGGGACACAGAACATACAGACTGCTCCCAGTCCTGTTATGGACAAACCACACCTACGGGTGAAAAGTTAATTAATTTGGCTGGCTACTGAGACCACTAGCTAACACAAACGGTGTTGGCAATTTCTGAGACAGGCAGGCATCTCCACACAAGAAACTGGACTGCTGCCAAGGCCCAATAGTTCTCGCGCTGTAGAGGCTACCAGGCACGATTCCAGTTCTAACAGAAAAACTCCCATTAACAAGTCACTTGAGCCGTCCAAACCCCATCCATTTATAACGTAGGGTGAAAAATCGTTTGCAGATGACAGAGGCTGTCACAGTTCATTGACTACAGCTAGCTCAGAAACCATTACTTGGTGTGGCACCTTTAATAAAGCAATGAAGAACGCAAACATCACCAAGAAAAGTAAAAATGAGCTTGATTGAAAAATACTTGATACTTTTCTTTTGTACACTCCAAACAGTTGAATCAGTCTAGTCCAGAATCATAATTCACATAACATCGAAATTCATTGGCTAAGTTTCGAGTATGTTTTGGAATGAATTTGCACATCTTCACACCAAGAAGCCTTGCTGCATGCTCCTCCATGATGGCACCTGAAGCAGAAAGAATTATGGTTTGATGAGAAAAGGTCAACAGAACTATTTTTTCCCTCTTTTAAACAGCTCTTCCAAGATCCCTTATTTTTTAATTTCCTTCTCATCTTTCTAAAGCCCCATGGCGCAGCAACCATGCCTGGGCTGCAGAAAGGGTTGCAGGTCACTTAAAATCATCAGGAGAGAGAAAGAAGGAACAAACTCATGCAAGACTCCAGGACTCAAGAACAATTTCTTCAATCTACTGTTTTGGGGCTGGGCAGAACTCGTTTGACCTCCCAAATTCAAGTTAAAAGAGCCTAAGCCAAGACAAACTCAGGTGCCACATACTGTACTACCACATGTTGAATGAAGAAACCCTAAAATGTGCGAGACAAGAATTCTTGTTGGTGATATCTTTTATTGGACCAACTGCATGGTCCAACAGATGCACAGAAGCTTTCAGGTATCATGGTACCCTTGATACCCAAAATCTTGTCTAGGTCTGCTCCAACTATGCAGTTGACCTTTGCCTAGTTGGAGATGGACCATCATGGTAACGACATCAACTGGACTCAAGAATGCAATACTTGAAGCTACTCAGTTCGAAGTCGGAAGTACACCAGAGCGCTATCATAACATGGCCAGAGCACCACTTTGTGGCATTTGAAATAAAGCAGATGTAAAGAGTTTAGGGTGAGAAGCAGTACTCACAGGTACAGCTACTACCCTATAGCACTGCTCAGCTATGCCCCATATAGTTTAATTTTCACTGTTCAGTTTTGCTGCATGGGGGCTGAAGTTTTTAAAGCCATGGCAAAATCTCTATAGACTGATTTACACGACAGCGGTTGCAGCTATCAATTAACAAGAGAGGATGACCTTACTGTTCACATCCTTCTTTTCAGGAAAATCCTAAAAGTTTGTTCTTTTAGAAAAAGTCTTTGCTAAAAAAGTCCTTCATCACAGACCAGACACAGTGACTACGGTCTAGTAATCACTCCCTCCTGTTATCTCCCTCCTGCTATCATTTTGGGCTAACCAAGCAGATTTATCTGACACCTTAAAACATCAGCTAGCAGCTGTAAGATAGTTTCTAAAGGAAGTTCCTAAGAGTGCCAGCATCCTCCATTTCTACCAAGTGAGCATGGATACATTTAAAAATGTTTCTTTACTTTCCAGTTAGCATAAGCAAACTTCAACTGCCTGAATTTAAAAGAATTAGTATGAGATTGGAAGAACACGGTTTCTTCCTCAAATGGACTCAAAACACTTTATTAACATTTAGTAGAACTAAGAATGATGCAGTTAATAGGCCTGCCCTTTTCCAATTCAAAACTAGCATTCTGCGTGGAAGGGAAGGGCTGCCTGGGTCTGAATGGTAGCCTAGCACAACTCTGGAAACCTGGGAGGTCCAGTGACAGAAAACTTCTGAGGAGCCAGGTGAGTGAGCAGGCAAGAAACTGAACTCCTGAGGTCCCTTCTAACCCTAATTTTATATGATTCTATGAACAGATTTCCAATAGACCCTTGCCTGGGCTCTGTCAAAATCCTGCTGACACTGAACTCTCCTTGTAAAAATGGTTCCATTTAGATGAATTGACAATTCTGACAAAAATCAATTCTCAGAATTCTTCCAAGCAGCTCCAAATACACCTGATGTTCAGATTGTTTACCTAAAAAAACCCAGAAAGTTCTGAAAAGTTAATGGCCACCGTGAGAAATTACTCCCACTAGACAAATATAGTATTAGCTTCACCCAAACAATGAAGGAAGTTTAGAGAAATATCAATTTTAAGATATTTGTATTTTGTCAAAAGACACAGAGACCGTACCTGTACAAAGCAGAACCTTTCCTTTTGTTAAGTATTTGATGGTCTCCGCTGTTTTACTGAGGCACTCCTTAGACAGATAGGGTGGATCTGCTATTACTATGTCAAAACTGTGTGGCAGGACATTTTCAGGTAAATTCAAAGGATTACTATAGTCATAGAAGATAAATTCCTCTCCATATACAGAAAATCTTTTGTCATACTCCAGGATACACACTGAAAAATCTTTGCCATGTTGTTCTTTTAGTTTCTGATAAACACTTGGTGCACTAATGCACGCTATCCTGAAAAGGAACAACCAGAGAACAAATATGTCAGAATATTCCTTTTTAAAGGGACAGATAAACAAAGAAATAAACAGAGCATATTAGAATTGGGATGAAACCACAACACAGATTCCCACCACACCAAAATTCAAATAGGGGATTTGGAGTCAGATATATAATAAAGATAAAAAACCTTTCAAATTTCCTAGCCGCTTAAATTTTTGGAGTGTTTGAATAGTGTATTTTGGTCCTCATCTTTTACTTGGATTTCTACTCCTTATACCTTATTTTTTTGGTCCAATCCCTGCTCCTCAAAAAGCCAACTCGATATAAAAGCCATTAATGATTCATTGATTTCAGCAGAAGCTGTTGTCCATTAGTAGATATCAAGCTTGCTTCTTGATATTGAAAATGACACAACTTACATGCAGTTTTCAAAAGTTAATAATAAGCAATATCATGCTAATTGTAAGAGTACTATCAAAGAGAGAGAATCAAAAACAGCACAAATATTGGTGGCACCACGCTAGTTTTAGAGAAATTTGATGAAACGCAGATTAGTTAATACATAGTTGTGTTAAACTCTGTAAGATCTTGTTTCATGGCAAAACAGAACTAAAACAAAAACTCCTCTTTGGAAAAAAAAGTATAACAATCAAGATGACTTTAATATTAGTCTACAAAACAGGCATAAGAGTGAAACAAAAAAGCTAAATCATGCTGTTAAAACCCAAATCATACAGAAAACCAGAACTATCCATACACACACACACAAAAAAAATTAGACCTTATTTTTTTTTTTTTTAATTTAAAGCAGAAAGCAATCCATACAAACCTCTCTCCCCTGCACTCACTCCTAAAAGTAGAAGTTTCATATATTTATATTTAAGCATGATATTAAGCTTTAAGACACACACGCTGGACACCAGCTTGGGATCACCTGTAAATTTAGCAAGTGTGCACTCCCTATTCTACGATTTTGTATAGATCATAGAAAAATAGGGTGGAAGAAAACACAGAAAATCATCTAGTCCAACCTCTTGCTCAAGAAAAAATCATCCCTATCTAAACCACCCCAGCCAAGTGTTTGTCCAGCCTACACACAAAAACTTTCTGCGAGAGTTTCCAGTATTCTACCCCAGTATTCTAGTCCAATCTTCCCTCACAGTTAGAAAGTTCTTTCTACTATTAAATTGCTCTCGTTGCAAATTATAGCTGTTACTTCTCATCCTGTCCCCTGCAGACAGAAGAATCTACCATCCTCTTCACACTCTCTTTGTACTGAAGACTTAACTAATCCTCCTCAGTCTTCTCCATTTTTTTTTTTACCTCTAATCATTTTTGTTGCTCTATACTGGACTCTTTCTGATTAGTCCATGTATTTCTTGAAGTGTTGTGCCCAGAACCGGACACAGCACTCCTGGAGAGGTCTTACCAGTGCTGAGCAGAGTGGAAGAAGCACTTCCCATGACACTCCTGTTAAAACATCCCAGTAAGTTCTTAGTCATTTTTGCAACAAGCACACTGTTGACACTAAATCAGCTGGCAGTCCACTATGATCACCAGATTCTTTTCTGCAGAACTGAAGCCTAGCCAGTCATTCCCCAATTTGTATTTGTGCATTCAAATGTTTCATTGTAAGTGCAGAACTTTGCACTTGTATGGACTGAATATCAGCCTCTCTCCTTCAGACCATTTCCTCAGGGTATTTAAGTAATTTGAAACCTAATCCCATCCTCCAATGTGTACCTCACCACCAGCACACAGCAGCTGTTACACTCTACTACCTGTACACAAGCTATACAAGTGAGCTAAATCACCCTAAATTTAATTATGTACAAAGCAGGGTTAAAAAGTGAGAGCAGTTTTGCTACCTGTTGTATCACTATAGCCAATGACACTGTTACAGTGTAACAGTTACTGGTCTCCCTTCACCCCTTTTGAAACTCTAAGCCTCCTGTGTGCACTCAATTCTATCCTCCAAGTCAGAGAGATCCAACTCCTTAGCAGCTGGGGATCTCACACAGCAGGGGCTGGACCAGTAGGGTTGTATGCCACCAGGGCCACACCAGCAGCAATCACAGCCCCTACCCTCCTCCCCACCGACTGCAAGCTCCCCCAGCATCATTCAGGTGGGCAGCTCCCCAGCACCACTACACCATACACTCAGTTGAGCACTCCTACCCCTTAGAGGCAGGCTTCCCTGAGCCATGCCACCCTGCCCTGCTACACTCCCTAGGCTGGAGGCTCCCCACACCGATCAACAAATCCCATCATCTTGTCGAAGAAGGAAAACCAGTTATGCATGACTTGCTCTTAACATTACATTATCACTGTCCTTATCTGCTTAGAAACATATTTTTCTAGGTATCAAGGTCAGACTGATGGGGCAGTAATTCACAGAGTCTTCCTTATTCCCTTTTACAAATATGAACATTATATTTGCCCCTTTCTAGTCATCTGGGACCTCATTTGTCTTCCATGAGTTGTCAGAAATAATAGGCAATGGTTCTGTAAATACCTCAGTCAATTCCCTGAGTACTCTCAGATGACTCTCATCCAGCTTTGATGACTTAAATCCTCCAGTTTCTCTAAGTAGTCTCTAACCTGTTCTTTCTCTAGGCTGATTATCTTCTGCCTTATCCTTACTGTTAACTTTGCCTGTCTACTGAAACCAGATCTTTTTTTGTAAAAACAAATAAAAATGCATTTAACTAGTCAGCCTCCTCCACACATCATCCCTTACTACATTCCCCTCCCCATTCAGTAAGGGATCTATACTTTCCTTGGATTTCATTTCTAACATACTTGTAGAAGTATTTTTATTGTCTTCTATGTCCCTTGCTATCCATATCTCAATTTCTATTTTGGACTACCTATTTTCTCCCTACAGGCTTGTATGTACACATGTGTGTATCCGACTAATATTTTTGTTTTTATTTTATGCTATGTATAACACCACCACATGTGGTAGTGTTAGAACTGTTAATAAAATAATGTTAAGCATTTAAATATCACATCCACCAAAGGACCATAATACTCTTTATACACGTAAATGAATTAAGCCATTTAACATTCTATGAAGTCAATATGTTACGTATTATCAGCACTTACAGATAAGGTGACTAAAGCTGATTTTGATGAATGAATGGCTTAGTGTTCCACAATTAAAACACTCAGAGCCAGAATTAAAGTCCAGCTCTCCTGACTCCTAGTTCTGTTTAACCACTAGACTGACTGTTAATACTTCTTATTGCCCAAGAGATAATGTATGCATAGAAATAAGATGATAGAAAGTGCTATACTGAGAATATTTTTAGTAAGAGCAATCCTGTTGTTTTATAAAATTATCATTAAAACCCACCTGCCACCTTTTCCAGCTGCCAAAACAGCTTCATTAGCCAGGCATGATGCAGTCTCATCATTGTACCAAAACTGGCTCAGTTGCTGGGGAGAGGGAAAAAAAAAAAATCAGTTATTAACAGTAGAGATCCTTCTCACTGCTGTGTACAACAATTAGCTTTTGTTAACCTGTCAGACTGTTTCAAGAAAACCAAAAATCCAAAGCAACCTTTTAGTTCATAAATGTCACTCCTGCAATTCTCAATAACTCTTACTGATCTGAAAAACAGATTTCTTTCCTGACAGCCCCCTTATTTCCTCAATAAAATGTGTTTGGACGTGACAGACACTGATTAGGTTACACTTACATGTTCCCCACCCATTGTCTACTACAGCAGCATTTCCCTAACTTTTGGAGGCTACGTTCTACCAGAATGAAGTCAACCACTCTTGGGCTCCCCCTTACTTCGTCACCACTTCTCTTCACCACCATTGGCCGCTGCTCCTCACCGCTCCCCTCCACCTCCTGCTGCTATCTTGGCTTTGGTTCTCCCACCTTCTGCACCTCCCCAGGTGAGCTGTGTGCCACAGTTTAGTAAATGCTGTACTACAGTAGCTGAAATCAACCCATCTGGAATTAAACTTTAAAAAAGGGCAGCTACTTTTCTCTAGGCATCTCCCCTGCCCCCATCAATGTCAATTAGTGCCTAAATGGGACAAAAAAAAATTGCAGCCAGCTTCACTGACAAGTGAGGACAACCCTGTGATGCTGACATGCATGATGTGGAAATTATAGGATTAGATTTCCCCCTGTCCTGGAAATGTACTGTTTCCATGTCTCCATCCCTTTTCCTATATTACTGCTCCTCCCTAACTGGTCACTATTACTAATACACTTCATTTTCTGAAGTTGTTTCTTACCCAGTCCTCCTCAACTGAGCCAACAGAATAATGATTAAAATCTTCAGAGGTCTTCATGCCCTCTCTCTGCTGTTGTTCTATATAAAACTCCTGCAGGGCAGCTAGAGTATGGGATGAAAGCTGAGGGATATCATCATCATTGTCACCCATTTTCCAGCTTTAATGAAAAGCATTTAATATTAGGTCAAGCTTTTTAATGACAGCAGTATTTAATAAAGGCCCATTCACTCAAAATTAAACAAACGCTGACATACCTGCTACCTAGAACACTGATAAGCCTCACAGCTAGGAACCAACAAGAGAAAGCATCGTTCTCTTTCATTCTAAGGGGGGACACTGAACTGAGCAGTGGAAGCTGGCTGCACTTCTTACCACAGCACTGTTCTTAGACCTCACAACCCCTAACCCCTCATATTCTATTTCTATCAGCTTCTAGTTTATAAGTCTTTGTTACACTTTTCATGGAAGATTACATGGAAAATTACATGCTGCTCTATCCTTCCCACCTAAAAATGATGCAAGTGCCTCTAAATAATTAACTAGTTAATGCAGGGGTGTGGTAAAGGAACAGTTAGGGTCACATAATTTCTGTCCTTGAGTAAGCCTCCCACTCATCTCATGATAACCTTCACATTACATAAAGATTTCCCTGAATGCTGAGAAGTTCTCCATAAACTAAAGCAAAGCAAGTAGGAGGCTCTGGAGATGTCTTCCCAGATGCCAGTGCTTGGCTAGAAATCTGTATAATCTGCATACACATATATGAACAAGAGTGTAGATGAAATAAAAGACACATTGGTCATAAGCTGAGAAGGCTTGGTTTGTTTATAAACAACATCAAAAATCTCAACTGAGTTACATCATGTTGGTCTGCTTCCCTTGACTCTATTCATTACTCTCTGTGAAGTTCAAGGCATTTGTGATATCTAAGGGATGAACTGGAGCAGTGGTTCTCTATCTCGATGGCCTCAAGGCACCCTCCATAACTTGTCTGAATTTCATGGCACCCTGCTTCAGGATTACTGAGCTATAATCTAAATTCAGATATGGAGGGGTGCCTTGGGGCTAAAAAGGCTGAGAACCACCCATCTAGCTGGTGCCACATACGAGTGCTGGGAGCAACACCCAACCTTGCCATGCCCTACTATTTCCACTGTCTGCCCTTTCCAGTACTCCCTCTCCCCTCCCAGGTCTGTACCCAAGGGAGCAAGGGCAGGCCCCCACTGCTGGGACTGGTCTCATATGCCAGTGACCACCTCCATGGCTTCTCCCGCCAGCCCAAGGAGTGTGGGGAAAACAGAGGGGATGTGTTCAGGTGCAAGGCACAGTCCCATCCCCATGTCTGTCTGCCTGTCTGCAGCAGAATGTGCTGCTGGAAGCAGCTGGCATAGGGGCTCCTTTGGGCTGGGGGGAGGGCAGCAGTTGTGGTAGTCTTTACAGGCAGCTGCAGGTACCACAAAATGTTGGAGAAGAAAGGAGAGCATTTACCTCCTTATACAAGGACTGGGTGGTTCAGCACCCTCAAAATACTCTCGTGGCCACTCAGTTGAGAATCAGTGAACTAGTGACAGTGAAAAATGAAGCAATCTTTTCCTCTCACAGAAGACAGTGCCATCTAGTAGGAAAAACAGGTAAAAGAAACAATTAAAATCTTAATTACTAGACTAATAAAAGTTCCCCCCCCACCAGAAATGTCTTCTGATATAACAACTGAACAAAACAGTGCAGTATTAATTAATAACATGATTATATATGCAAGTACTTAACAACAAGACTACAAACTGTGGTATAGATCCTCCTCTCTGGGTAGAAGGAACTTAACACAAACTACACACAAGCATGACTAATATATATGTCTTATACAGGTACTCCTGTAACGTTGTCCCGGTTAACGTTGTTTCATTATTACGTCACCGATCTATTAGAAAACATACTCGTTTAAAGTGGTGCAATGTTCAGTTATAACGCTGTTTGGCTGTTGCCTGCTAGTAGGTAACTACTGTGATGCAAGTGGATTCACTTTAACATCATTTCACTTCAAGTCGCATTTTACAAGAACATAACTACAATGTTAAGCAAGGAATAGCTGTACAGTACTGATGTGACCAAATATAATCTAAGAACGTATAACTGCTTTGTTGGGGGTTTTTTTTGGTTTTTTTTTTAAACTAACCAGTAGTATAAGGTCCACAGAGTAGCTTGCTCTCAGGCTATTTAGTGCCTCAGACAGAGAGAAGCATCAGATGCCTCAGACAGGAGGTACCACCCTGACCAGGCATGACGACCACCCCAGGAAGGGTCTGGAGAAGACGCATGGCATGAGACCCCACGAGCTAACCGGCCAGTGCTGTACTGACCGCTATTAACACAAGCACGAGCCAGCAGCGCCCCCCCGCAGGAGAGCGGTGCCCAGCCCAGCCTGGGCCGGCACCAGGCCGCTCCGCCTCCAACAGGCCACTAACGTGGGAGGCCCCCAAAGCACCCGCTCGCCCAGGGCACCATCCCCCCGGGCGGCTCCGCGCGCCCCGCCGTCACTGCAAATGGGGAGTGGGGGCAAAACCTTCCCAACGAGCCTGGGCCCCGCGGCCCCTCCCCCACCTCAGCCGCCGCCGCCACTCGGGGCTCGCGTCCCCGGGGCTCACTCACCAGCGGCCGCGGCCCGTGAGAATAAGGAGCCCTGCACCGCCGCCCCCTGCTGGCAATTGCCGCTCGCTGTGCTGGGGTTGGGCCAGCCTCGCCCCCTTGGAACCTAACAGGGCTGCGAGCTGCTCAGCCATTGGCTGCCGCCGCTGCCCCTTCCCCGTGCCCGCCCCACGTGCGAGCTGAGCGCGGGAGGAGACGCTGCAGCCGGCGCTGGCGGGAGCGTGGTCCTCACGCAGGACACCGCCAGCGCGGCGATGGGAGTTAAGGCTCCCAGGTCGAGCGCGTTTGCAGGGCTCGGCCCTAGCCCCACTGTTGTTAAGTGTACGATAACTATCATGTTTGCACGATAATCTCAAGCCCTGTAAAATATAGGACCGATAACAATAAGAGTGATCAAGCGGCTGTAATTGTTGAGGCGGCCAAGTGATGCAGCGAAGTCCTAGTCCCTCTCAGAGCCTTCCCTCACTCCTGGACTTCCTTACGACACCTTGTCTTGAAACACAAAAATGTTTCAACTCGAAGGACCCCATTCCCACTCCCTCACTGGCAGTTCACAGTGAGCAATATAAAGTAAAGAGGACGACATATTTTTTGCATATTTTTTCCATGTACGATAGGTTTTCAGCAAATAGGGTGATTTTGAGCTTCTTGTATGGTGATTCCATTTTAAGACCCGGCAATGCTGGCTACCACCTGCCAACAGCTCTTCATTTAAAAAAGGCCGCGTTACCCACCTGCCCAGAGCAGGCGCGAGCCTCGGAGCCCAAGTGTTGGCTGACGCTGGTCACAAGCAGTGCAATGCCAACACTGGAAACTGAAATCCTCTTATTAACAAAGCAGGCTGGAAACAGGCCGGCTCGGCTTGTGCCCTGGGGATGGAAGGGACCAGTCACCGCGCATGGCTGGGCAGGGCAGGGCAGGGCAGAGGTTAACCCTTCACAGCTGAGTAAGTGGGAGCATCTACTGCTGAGCTGCCTAGCTAGCTCATAGGTCTCCATCTATAAACTAATTAACTCTGCCCTAGGTTAGTACTGCTTGATACAAGTACTAACCTATGCCGAGTTATTACTCTACTGCAGCACATGTATAAACTCTGATGGGGCTGGCCAGGGCCTGCCAGCTAGCCCTACACTGAAGTACCCTCATGCCCCACCCTGCCCTGCTGCAGAACGGTGAGCTAGGGCAGAGCAGCCCCATGCTCTGCCCCAGCTCAGTGTGCTACAGGCCCTAGAGCACATGAAGACAGTGTGCCTAGGAGCAATAAACTACAGCATGAATTGCACCAGAGTTTATTCAGCCAAGCTAATTTCATGTGTAGATATGCTCAGTGTAGGGGTGGCTAACCTGCAACATGCTGCCACAAGTGGCAGGGGCAGCCTGCACGTGCAGCCTGCACGTGCAGCAGATGGCAGATCTGGAGGGAGCACAGCACACAGGGCAGAGAACAAAGTAAAGTAGCACCAGGCAAAGAGCAGAAAGCAGAGTAGCAGGTGAGGCAAGGGATTGGAGTAGCAGACAGGGCAGGGGCAGGGTTTACTTTGTGATACACCTACCTAAGAGGTTAGCTCCCTACTGTGTTAATTGCTAAAGCACCACACTGCATTGCTTTCCTTCCTGACCAAGAAAGAAAAATGGCCACAAAGAGTTCACTACATCTTTCCTTTCAGTCTTTAGGCAGAGGTGGACATTAATTAGAGCCTTACATAATGGGTGTGTTGGAAATGTACATTTCTTTCCAAACTAGAGTTGAAATCATTAATAATAAATTATAGCGTAAAATTGTAGATATGCAATGTGTTAACAGACAGAACACGTTAATGTCCGTGAACTGTGCTATGCAGTATGATCCAAGATTTACGCTATTTTCTCTTTAAAAATGCAGCCCGAGCTATTCGTGCTCTTTCTAGAGGGACCACAGCACGTACATTATACTAACATACAGATGGACCTTGAGAGCCTGGCACATGTCTTCATATAGCTTCCCCCTTGCTCCCCCCACTAAATAAAACTTGTAATCACTCTGCCATCACAAGAAGCAGGAAGGAAAATATATAAAATATATTTAGCAAAACCAGTAAAATTAAAGTGAAACAAAAATGCAGTCAAGTAGCAAACATTTTGTACAGCAGCAGTTTTTACACCATTTTCCTACATATACCTCTGCACTTATTTCACACTTTCTTTGAGGAGGAAGCAAATAGAAGTAAGCTAATGTTCAGAAAAAATAAACATGATTTTTTTTCCCTGAAAAGTTGGGATTTTTTTTTTTTTTTTTTACTCCAATTCAAAATATAGGAAGAAGGAAATAAGCTTTTCAGTCCACAAATGCAATGTCTACACTGCCCTTCTTTTACAGGTTATACTAGTCCACATGTACAGTCATTGGATCTAGACATGATCTGGCCACCTTAAAGGATGTAGATAACAAACACATTTTAACCAAGATACAAAACAGGTATCTATATTCTCTTGCTTTCCTGAGGCTGAATGAGTTATTTAAATATATGTGCGCTTATCAAAATCCATACGCAGGATACAGTACATTTTCAACAGCAGTTTTTAAGAAATGATGAAAGTGCATAAAAGCCTGCAGACAGGCAAAAAAAGTACTTTAGAACAGTCTTTCCTTAGAATAGCCGAAGAATTTAAGCCATCTCAAAAGTAGCGCTGATCTTGGGAGAGTTCCTAAAAACTTTAAAACATTGTTGACAGTAACGGCAATTATTTGAAGCTAACAAAATGCCACTAAAAAGGATTGGTTTATACAAAGAATTAGGTATAGTACTACAATTAAAGAGTCCTTACAACTTCTTAGAATAGATGTGGAGCCAACTTTCAACTGAACATTTTGCTGGAATCTCACAATGACACTCTTCTTCAGTAAATATTACGTTCAGCAACAGATTTGTGGTGGTTGTGATGTGTCACAATCCCAATTTGTATTTTTACTAGAATCAAAGCACTGAGAGCAAATCAAGCTTGTTTGTAACAGTGAATAGAAATTCCTATTCAGGCCAGATATGGGAGGGCAGAGAAATGGGACATCATATGCAAAGCTGCTATTGTACCCTGCTAATTTTGTAAATGCAATGCAGCATCAAACAAGACTAAAATATCTAACTGGAAGTGAACAGTGAAATCTGTAATGAATCAAAATTTGTACTGGCATTAAAAAAAAGATTTTTTTTTCTAGAGCATTACCCAAACATAAATATTTTAATTAACTGAAATTCATGACACATTGGTAGCAGTGTCAGATCTCAGATGCATTCCAGAATGAATGTTTTCACGTGTGCTTAATTGAAATTCCAATGTTTCATAATCCCATCAAGATTTAGGGACTTCTTTTGCCCCCATTTTGAGGTCACAACTACTTTTGTTTCCCACAGATTCATTTAAACATCTTTCTTGCCAATTTGCAAGAAAAAAAATAATTTCAATAGGAAGATAAAGAGCTGACACACTTGTTCACAAGAAATAGCATCTGGGCAGGGGGAACTCTTGAACACTACAATGAGGTAAGCAGTACATACAAACAAAATGAAAAAGCGTTTCCAGACACTTACATGAAGAAGTGTGAATAAAGGCTTTGTACCCAAATCATTCAAATTTATTCCAGACCTCAAATTTGTTAATGTAAAGCAGAATAGCTCAATTTCTACATGAAAGGCTCTTGGACATACTATTATTTTAAACTTTGTGAGTTGTTCCCAATAGAACATTTTCTTCTCTCTTATCCAAGCTTTCACTGAATTAAAGACTGGCCAACACAAATCTATTACTGTTGTAAGTATACTTCTGAAGCCCATAAAATGAAACTTAAAACATAGTCAAGTTGTATAGCACACTGTTGCCATTGTAGTTTTACTTTCAGGATGTGAAGCAATTTGAAATACCTGAAAGCATGAAAAAGAAAAGGGAACAAAATATGGAGTAGCTGTTGACTCAAAATAAGTACATACATCAGGATTGCTAACATTAACTGAACTTTTCTGAAAGACATCAGTAACAGTTGCATGCAACTTATGTGCAAGAGCAGATTAAAAGATAACATTTGGAAAACAAGTAGTGAACTAAACTGTTTAGCTATTCAGGATGAATACAAGATTTCTAGATAGTGTATTTCTGTCTCCACAACACATGGAATCAAGATGTTGCTATATACTTTAGGGGACAATTGCATTTAACATTTGTCCCTGTTCCTCCTGATGAAATATTTGCCTTATAAATTTAATATCAGATGTTCTTTTGTCCCTGCTATAGAAGTTGTGTATCAGCATATATATGGCCAAATTCTTGCTCCAAGTGGTATGCTGTAAAATCTAGAATTACTGATTTCAACTGAGTTTACTTCAAATTCACACTGCCATAAAAGAAAAACTTTGCCTTGGGATTTCAGAACATTCCTATTTCTATTACATGAATGTATATCACACTTGTTCATGGTTTCAATGCAGGTGAAATACCAGGAAAAAACAAGCAATAGTACACACAAGTCAAAATGGCCAAAACAAAATATAACACATTCTTAATGGAAAACAATTTTTACCTTCACCCCATTCATGGATCTTAAAAATGCATGTGTTCATTTTTAAATTGGATATTAGCTTATGATAAGACTTTACTATATAGCCATTTGCTTCCTAAAAAGTCCTATTGCAGCAATTGTGAAATAATTATATTCAACTTTATGCCTTCAACTGCCATAATTCAATTGTACAGAGAAAATGCAATTGAAATGAACTACCACTTCAATCCCCATTTTTAAACTTGAAATAGACTTGTAATTTTTTAAAAATTAAACATAAAGTATTTACATATTACAATTGACAGCAATACTACTAGTATTTATTCCCTTAAAACCACAAGTTCACTGCATGAAGGTTCCTTATTCTGCAGAAAGGAAACAAATGAGTGTATTCTATTTTCAAACAACTGTAACATCTAGCATAATTCAACTGCAGATTGCAAATGCCATGAGGACTGGCATCAGAAAGGATTTTTACCTAATTCAAATCTCAAACCACATTGGCTGGAAAAAACTGTCCCCCACAACATCTCTAATTTGAAGATGTGAGAGTTGCTTATGGATCTCTGCTAAACCTTTCATGAAAATAGACTGAGAGAAATAATGTGAAAACGTGTTGAGAGGAGGGGAAGAGAAGAGAAAAGGGGCAGACAAATAGAATCTCAGTTCACAGAGCAGAATGCAAGGGCTAGGAAAGCTCATATACCTTGATTTCCAAGGCTGAATTCAAAATATTGTAGTGAGAAAGGTTTTGGTGTGACATTTGCTCACTTACATGTTACAGTTCTGTTAACATGATTTCCCCAATCAGCATAAATTGCCGCTCTAACAAACCACCATCTTAGGAAGTACTACTTTGAATTTCTTGTCAGGATCTAGTCATGTTCGGAGCCAATTCATGAAACTAGGCAAAGCTTAGCTCCATGGATTTGATTCCTGTGGTCAGGCCCCGGTTACACTGACCACTGTTTCTCTAACCAGCACAGCCATGACTCTTGTGAAATGGGCTAGTGATTTTAGTTCCTAGCATAATAGCCTAATGCTCACCCTTCCCCCCTAACCAAACCAAATATGCTATAAGTGGCAACCTTGTTGGATGTCTCAATAGAGGCACCAAAGGCTGAATCAGCTTAGAAACAATCATCATTTTACTCTTAAGACTAGAACTGAGGCACATGATGGGAAATTACTTTTATAGCAGTCATCTAAACTACAATTTACAGTAGGCGTTTACTGTACTGTACTGTGGTGGACTATCCCTTTTGAATATTACAGAACTGCTGCCTGTGCTCTCTTAGTCACTTCAATGTGGTCAATCACACACCTTATATAAGTGCTAAACTTAAAAACACTAAATATTTACATAACATTTTAGATCTTCAAAGCACTTTATAGGCATAAACCAATCCTCACAACACCCCTGTGAGGTAGGTATTATCTCCATTTTACAGATGAGACAGCTTTTAAATGATCCATCCATGACCCCAAAGGGAGTCAGTGGAAAAGCTGGTATGAAAATTTAGGAGTTGGTCTTCCATTCCCATGCTCTGTCCATCATCAAACCATTCTCATAAAAACCCCTTCAGTTTAAGATGTAATGAAGTCATTTCAATTGCAATTATATAAAAGTGTTTTACAATAGAAATACTACATATTTTTATATTTTAAACAAATTATTTTAAAAATAATTGAAATTAGAAATGAAAACAATTTATTTAGAATAAGATCTCTTTATGAAGGGAACTGACCTTTTCTGACCAAGCTTGTCCTCTAAAACTACAGAGTTTAAATATACAGGGCGAGATCCCACTAAACATTTGTGGCTTAATAAGTGCTATACACTATCAAGCAGGAGACCCAGATTCAAATCTCAGACTCACTCTCTCAACTAGCAGGATTTGGGCCTACAGACAAAAATCTCTGAGTTCCTGAGGAAAACAGGGAGCCTTTTGATCACTCAAAACGAAATAACTTCCTACCTGTTAGGAGTGGCATAAACAAAGTTCCATGTGATTTATAGAAAATTAAAATGCAATGGACCTGAAAGGAGAGTTTCAATGAAGGTCACCCTTCCCTCTCTACATGAACCTATATTTTTGTAGGCCTTGAATTTCGTGACCTTAGAAGACACCCCAATAGAGCTTTACCAGCTAATAGGTTGAACTGCAGGGATGTGGCCAGAGCTGACCCTCGGGGATGCGGGGCCCGGGGCAAATCATCCTATGTGGGGGTCCCCTAACACTGTGTGGGGCCGTGGTACCTCCGCAAAGAGGAGGGGTTCTCCATGATTCTTCCGCAGTGCAGGGCTGAGCTGCCAGATTCAGGCGGGCCCTGTGGGAGGGGCCGCATGCGCTCTACGCGGCTCCGCAGGGCCCCCCGCCCCAAAGCACGGGGCCTGGGGCAGTTGCCCCGATTTGCTGTACCCTAGGAATGGTCCTGGATGTGGCTAGTTAACACTAGAAATGGTTATTTAAATCAAAAGACGTGTGGAGAGAAAAAATACAAGTTATTTGAATCCCCAGCTTTAGAACTGAAACCCAGCGGTAACAATCTGTTTTAGCAAAGAACTCATCTTGCATTTTCACAAAGAAAAATATAAAAGTTACAATACATGGTTTATAATTAAATCAGTTGGAGTTTTATACATTGGTTGAAAAACATGAAAAATGTTTGTTTCAAACCATGATTCACTTTGCAAAGT